CAACCCTTTGTAGAAGCCGAAATACGCCCAGACTTGGGACTTTGTTTTCTTTGACAGTGGAAAAATCTTCGCAACACGGTCGGCAGAACTGCCTTCAAAACTGCCCTCCGCCATGTTTACAAGTTGTATACTGCGCAGTGTGTGCCTGTGTCCGAAAGACTGCTGCATGCAGCTGCTCTTCTCAGCACTAAGCAGTCTGTGAGCATTTCCAGAGTGTGGAAATCAAACACGGTTTTAATGGTAATTAAAATTTGAAACGGCAGTACTAATCATCAGACATTTTACCGCGGTTTATCATTTTACCGGTAATCGTTACATCCCTGATGTTGGCAATGGAAAGAAGAGAGGCTGGGCTAGCATTTGTTTTAGCTAGGTGCATGTAATGAACTGCCAATTGAATGTGTATATTATGTTTGACTGTGATGTGTGATTAGTCAACTTTGCTTTATGCTTAGGTTAAAGGCAGTTACCCTTTCATTGAAGTGCATAAGTGTCTGCTATCTGTTGTCAGCATGTCTTTACTGTTGGGAAAGTCCCTTGATGAAACATCATAAAGAAAGGAACATTGTAGCGTGACCAACTTCTTATAGTTTCATCTCACAGCACCAACTCCATTAAGCTCATGACTTTGCACTTGAAGAGAACCATGGAACACATCATAGAGGGCTGAAAGATGACGAGATGATAGGTGAATCATTATGGCAACATGAGACATAAACGATTGGGCTTATTTAAAAGTCTCTGTTTTTCCTGGGACAGAGTGCTGAAGCTAGCAAATTGGTGATGGATCTATAATAAGTTTAAACTGAACTGTTTAAATACATGTGCAAAAAAATTTATGCAATATACAATAGCAAATCCAACCAATTCCGTCCGTTAGTCAGCTGAGATCCTGGGTTGGATTTCATTCACGCTGACTGCAATCAGTATGAGTGGTGACAGCTGACGCTTTTCCACATTAAAGGAGGAAGTATTTGTAATATATCTTCGTTAACATCAAGGGCTCTATTTTCGTTCGCGCCGGTGAGGCGGCGGAGGGCGGCGAGCCCCGCGCAGTTGTATTTTCGTCTGGCGGAGCCCGGCGTAAGGCGAGTTTGGTATTTTCGTGGACTCAGTCGCACGGAGGCGAGCCGAGATCCGCCAAGCTGGGCGTGGTGGCGTGGCAGGGGGAGGTGTCGACAGAATCAGCTGGCGCAGTGACATTTTCGTGCTCGCCAACGGCGTGTAAAGTGCGCTGAAAGCTCGCCGATTCAAACCTGGTCAGCTTTCAGCGCAAGGCGGAACGCAGCTGGTTTTGTAGTATTTTGGTAGACCGGCGGCGTATCGACATACGTCACTGATGCCTCACCGGCAGGTTTCCACAGTGTCAGGCACATTTCAGTGCAATAAATAATCATCATCAACTATTAATCTGAGTCAGCACATACATTTAGATCTATATAGATATATTCTGATCTATATCTGATCTGATGAGCGCGTTTGGCACGCGTTTGGACACACAACCTGACCGAATCAACACAGCTGAAACCGCATCAAATTAAATTAAATATCTAGTAAATATACACACATGATGAAGTTAACAAGATATGTAATTCGTCTCCCTCCTTTTCTTTCTTCCTCTTCCTCTTATTTCTCGCACAGCTCGACCTGGACACGTCTCCGTGTCCTCTGTCCGTCTTGCTGCTGCTGCAGCTGAACAGATGATTTGTTTCAGTGCTCAGATGCGTTATCTACTTTAAGCCGACATATGGATATTATAATATTCAGTTTTGTGAGCCAAATTTATTTTATATGCCAACATCTATGAAAGAAAGAGCCAGGCCACGGAGCGCGATGCGTCATTTACGCACAGATGGTTCCGATTTTAATGCCATTTTTGGAGTTTACGTTGTGATCTGTGCGCTCAACCCACCTTTGTCACGTGAGGTTTGAATATGAGCAACTTTATGTGAGTGTCTTTATTTGTGGAAACGGGTGTTTGTCTTACCAGTGGGTCCAACATTACGCACACTAAATCCATCTGTGCTCATATGAGAGAGTGTGGAGGACACTTGTTGAGGAGCTGCCCTCTGTCGCCATCTTGTGGCATTACTGTCTTAAGACATCTCTTGATCTCTTTGACTACTCCATGAAAATAGTAATACGCCTCGCCTGTGGCAGATTTAAAGGCAAGGAGAGGAGCCTATGTGATTGGTGAAAACAGGTCTCGGCTGTGTTAAACCAACTACACGCCCTTTCTCCTCCCCGTCTACGACTTATGGTGCTGGGAGGAGCTGAGTTAGGGAGGGGGGATACTTACGCCGGGCTGCGCGGCTCACCAAAATACCAAAATGTGCTTGGGAACGCCTTGTCAGCGCGGCGGATCTGACTGACGCTGCGCTTGCGGCACGTCTCCGGCGAGGCACCAAAATAGAGCCCCAAGTGTTTCGTTTCTACTTATTTGAAGCGTGGATCATAGTTGTGGAGACGTCCACACAAACATTGAATACAACCAACAAGTGAGGTGTACAGGCTGTGTTAATTACATTGAATATCAATTGAACGAATGATACACGGATACACTGCCCCCTATCGGCCAGAAGGGGCCAGAACGAGTGGGGTCCATGACGTCACTTTCCTGCGCCACTTGAGATTGCGAACTCAGATTGAATTATGAGACACTTTTTGCGGGGCGAGCACGAAAACGAAAAAGCATTTCTGAGTTTGCTTTTGCTTTTTAATTTAGTCACAAAATGAGCAGTCTTGAAGAAGAAAACGAAAATGCATTTTGGAATATTGCTTTTGATTTTTATTTTTGAGTCAAATAGTGCAGCCATGACTTTGAAATGAAAAAGCATTTCTGCTCATGCTTTTGAATTTGAGCTATGAGTCACAATCGCTTCCATATTGTAAAGCTGGTTAACACTTAAAATAAATTGACCCAGAGTTTTTGCGAGCATGTTTACATGAATGGGCAAAAGTCAGCAATATAAGACCAATTGCAAACACAGGCATGCTGACCATCTGTAGATGATCATGTTGACACAGAGCAAAGTATAATATGGGGAATAAACTGGGAGTAAAAGAAAGTGCAATCCCAAATGAAGGCTTCTAATATTACTTTATGGATAACTGTTGTGTGTTTGTTCATTTCATAATGAAAAGACCAATTTACAGCCGACCTCTCAGGCTCTGTACATCAATCATCGATGGCTGATGAAGAAAACTCACCCCTTCATCAGGGAGGGTTAAGTTCAGTGGAGTCATCCAGTCAAGTTTTTTGTTATTGTCACTTTCAGCCATTTGTGTGGACCTACACAGGAACTGAAAACAATGTTTCTCTCCAACCAACTGTGCAAAATAATACAAGAAAATATATTATGATACAATATAAAGAGTCAAGAGTGGTCAATGACTCTTGTTTAATCCATCAGATTTGGATGAATGGCTATAGTTGCCCATATGTGTTCTATTGAAGGTTGTAGCAGTTTGAGTATTCTCCAGAGTTGTACAATTTCCCAGGTGTGTGAGTTATAATTTATAATGAAGCAGGCTTCAGAACATGTGATAACTTAGTTTTAGTTTTATTTACAGAGATTTCCATACTAGAACACCTTCATATTTAGGCTGATTTAATGCAAACAGCGTGAGATGGCACAATGGCATAAGATATGACGAGATATTTCTTTAGTCGTCCCACAAAAGGAAATTCCGAACAGTGTCCATTGACATAGACACTGTCCAGTCTTTAATAAATCACCTACAACCATGGCCATTATGGTGGGGGAGGGGGGTTCATCCTGCATACTGTCCTGCTGTTACCCTCCATCTCTGCCTTCCCCTCTCTTAGTGCTTATACATTAGTAAGGTGTGTTTGATAAGTAAGGCTAATGTAGAGCAGGATGTCTTTGTAATGTCTACTTTGAGCATTCCAGGAATCAGCACTGTCACATGCTTCATCACCATGAGAGTGGGCTGACTAGAAGGATCAAAATTGGCATTGAACCCATTTAGTACTTTATTTTCACCATGACCCCGAATAAATCTGCTCTTCTATAATACTTTATTGATTTCAAATCAATTGAGAACCATTCTTGTACTTTGATTCATAGCATTGACTTTATGGAATTGAGAATGTAATGCAAAAGAACAGTTTACATATTCTGTTGTTTTTTTTTTAACCCTTTGATGCGCAACATATCCACACCCCCTCTAATGCGCAACATGGGTCTAAAAAGACCCGCATTCATTTCCAATGGTATTTCATGCTGGCTAAGTTTTTCTTTGTTCTATCTTTTGAAATCAGTTTATTTTCTGATTGAATATTCCAAGTATTGTTTAAATATCTTGTTTTTGATCACCACTGATCATTATTTCTATTTTTCTTTTCATACTTTATGAAATAATATAGTTTCTATATTATAACATCAAGTTTACACACATGGGTCAAAACGACCCATTCATCCAAGTGTGATTTAATATTAAATTACCTAACACTATAATAATAATTTGTTTCAAGTAATGAAATTAGCAGTGAGTGGGGCCAAACCATAGACTGTATATACTATGGACAACTTGGTTCCACCTACCGCCTGTATACGGATTTGGAGCCAAAAAGCTCTCCGTAATTCCGGGACTTTTCTACATTTCTGAAACCAGAGCTGCGCAGTTGCGATGCATACATTTGGCCACGCAGTCGCTAAGAGTCGCTGTGATGACGCTCGGCTCACCCCGGGAGAGCTACGCAATCCCTGAACGCCCATAGGCTGTATCCATAGACTGTATATACTATGGACAACTTTGTTCCGCCTACTGCCTGTATACAGATTTGAAGCCAAATAGCTCTCGATATTTCCAGGACTTTTCTTCATTTCCTGAAACCAGCGCTGCGCAGTAGCAATGCACGCATTTGGCCGCACAGTTGAAGAGAGTCGCTGTGATGACACTCGGCTCAAACAGCATATCCCTCGGGAGAGCTACGCAATCCCTGAACGCCCATAGGCTGTATCAGGTGTCAATCATAGCAAACATGAAGCCCTAATAACTTTTAAAAATGGAGCTTCACAGAAAAAAGAGGACTTGAGCACAAACCAGTCTTACTGTAACTACATGTCAACATCACAATCAGGAGGGATAAAAATTTATGTTCTGTGTAATACATTTTTTAAGTTTGTCCACGGCTCCATAATCTTTGCTGGCGGAGGCGGGATTTATGACCTATACTGCAGCCCATCAACAGAGGGTGCTGTTCTCGGAGTGGCTTCACCCAGCGAGGAGGCAGACTCTGTCCATTCTATATACAGTCTATGGCAGGTGTCAATCATAGAAAACATGAACCCCCTAATAACTTTTAAAAACAGAGCTGTACAGAAAAAAGAGGACTTGAGCACAAACCAGTCTTACAATACCTACATGTCAACATCACAAGCAGGGGGGAGAAAAATTTATGTTCTGTGTAATAAATTTCTAAAGTTTGTCCACAGCCCCATAAGGTTTGCTGGCAGAGGCGGGATTTATGACCTGTACTGCAGCCTGTAAACAGGGGGTGCTGTTCTCGGCTTCACCCAGCAAGGAGGCAGACGCTGTCCATTCTTTATACAGTCTATGGGCCAAACACTTCTGTATTTTGTATCAGCAACATGTTTATTTGTCATTTTGTCACATACACATGCGTTTGATTATAGCTAGCTGAAATAATGCTAGCTGTTTTACCTGTAACTGTGTAACTTTCCAACATGTAATGTCCTCACTCTCAAGGTAACCTAAACCTAATCAAATCAAATCTGTGTACAATTATATTTCACAATTGTCATCAAATAATTTCTAAGATAATGTCAGAACAATTGAAAAACTATACTTGCATGTATTAGATGGTCTTTTCATGCTAAATGCTACAGTCACTGTATGTGGGTCGTTTCTGACCCATGTATGTAAACTTGATGTAGAACTACAAAATCTGTGCTTCCTCATAACGTAAGAAAGGAAAAATAAAAATGATTATTTGTGCTCAACTAAAACAAGATCTTTACTGCATACTTGGATTAGTAAATGATAAAATTAATTTATTTCAAAGATATACCATAGAAACACTCAGCCATACATGAAATAACATTGAAAATGGATACGGGTCATTTTAGACCCATGTCGTGCATTAGAGGGGTAGTGATACAAAAACGGTTTTTATTCTAAAAATAAAAACAGAAAAATTAACATAAGGATGTAGGGTGGTCAAAAACAAGTTAATTGAGGAATTCCTCGAGTACCGACTGATGGAATAAATTTTTTGAAAAGATATATAAAATTTAAACTCAGCCGGGTCTTTTTTGACCCATGTTGCGCATCAAAGGGTTAAGGTAAATGCCTCTATATCAATAACATTGTGTTATTGATCCTATTACACAGTTAACCTTTACATGATATACAATGAAAAATGTAAAGGGTGCATGTTTTTACTAAAATACTTGCTCCATTTGCTGTGTTCATTTGCAAAACTGAGGACATTTTATCATGCTTAATTCACATCAGGTGCTGTTACACTTAAATCTTCAGCAGTAGTGATTTCTCATAAATCTTATTTAAAGAGTTGATGTATAAGCCGGGAAGCATAGTGGTGTAGTGGTTAGCACTGTCGCCTCACAGCAAGAAGGTCCTGGGTCCGAATCCGGGTCAGGGCGTTTCTGTGTGGGGTTTGCATGTTCTCCCTGTGTCTGCGTGGGTTTACACTGGGGACTCCATTTTCCTCCCACATCCTAAAAACATGCAGTGTTAGGTTCATTAGTCACTCTCAAATGCCACATAGATGTGGATGTGAGTGTGTATGGTTGTTCATCTCTATATGTCAACCCTGCGATGAACTGGCAACTTGTCCAGGGTGTCCCCTGCCCTCGCCCTCCGGGATAGGCTCCAGCCATACAGGCATACAGAAGGCTTGTAACAACTACAAGTCTCTGAAGCAGGTGTCTGTCCATATGCTGCATTAATTACGGTAAAATCTTTAATGGCTTAAAACATTGCTCATTACTGAGCTGCATGGCAGTGTGCCCTCCATTCCTTTTCTCTAGCCCTGGTGTTATTTATAGCATACATTAGAGCCTGAATAGCTGGGGAGAGATGTGAGTGCCTGGTATAAAGCAGAGAAGTGAAATTTCATGTTCAGGGAGACCCAGGGAGGGTATGAGATAGAGTATATCCAATTGTATTTGAATTATTCCCATGTAGAACTGACTTAGACGCAGTCCAAAAGAAAAAAATAGTCTGATGGGATTATTTTCTCTGCTACTTTGCACAGGCAGCTAGGAATTAAAGCAACTTTACCTCAAGGATAAGAGAATGGTTACAGGCCCTTGCTACTGACCATGCAATCGCTATTAATCCCCTGGAATAAGCAGTAGTTACAGTTGATATATTTCTTAGGTCTGATCAATCTATAGGGGGTAACAAGAGTGTGTAATGTAATAGTCCAGTACATGCTGTGTACATATAGGAGGTTCTGCTGCTCTCTCTCAGGAGGAGTTTCAGCACCACAGACAGCGACGCAGCAGAGAGCAGTTCAGCCACAGAGGAAAACAAAGCTTGGCCAGAACAGTTTCGATCCCATACATTACCAATGCCATAAGAGCGCAGGTAATCAATTCAGCACACCACATCAATGGCTGGCAGTTTATAAAACAGTCATTTCTGTTGCTGAGGGTGATTTAATTGTTTTCCCTCAGCTGAGACTGTCTCCTGTCAAAAAAGTGGTTCCCCCTATCTCTTTGCTGATCTCTCTGTAGATGTAAGAAGTGATTTCTGACAGAATTTTGCTGTCTTTTGACAGTCAAATGTCTTAGTCAATGACACAGCTGGTTTGCTGCAAGAAATGCTAACAACAGCATTTTGAAGTAAAACGCCTCATCTGACTCTTACCCACTGGCAGCACTATGAGGCATTAAAATTATGTATATTAATGGTCAATCACACCCCTGCTTTTGTTGGTCAAAAGGGCATCAGTAGTCCATCCCTTTTAGTTTATTTCAAGACTGCATTACAACTTCTCACAGGAGCTTTCAAATTCAATAAAACCATAATTGATGTCATCATTTTTACCTCACATGTCCCACATTGCCACTTTCATGCCAATATTTGGTCCAACGATGACAAAAGGACAGAAATCAAACAGAGGAGTAAAGACATTCAAACAAAGGAACGTCAACGATGATTCAGGGAGTGGACAGTGACCCGCAGCTGTTCAAACCACAGCTTTTCAATGTCATTTTTGCACGTCTAATTTTATTTTCCTGAAGGACTGTAACTCCAGATGACTATTTTTTTTCCAACATATAGTGAACTCCCATCAATAACATCCACAGTACCTGCATATAGGAACTAATTGCAGTCCAAATTAGATCGATGCTGTCAAATTGAAGCTCATTTTAAACATTGTACTGATTATTCTGCTTCTAGTTTCAGTGCATAACTGTAGTACCATTTCAGAAGGTGGTATACTGTAACAGTTCATTTTCCTACAGCTTCATTTGATTTTCTCAGCAGCAGATGGTAACTGGAAATGCATACAAAGGCATTATACATTTCCACTTCAAACCTGCTGCTGAGCCAAATGAAGCAACAGCAAAATTAAGTGGTACAGGAAACAAGTCCCCCACCTTCTGGACACACGGGACTACAGACAGGTTTGCAATAAATCACAATCCAATCCCGACAGTTTTTTCGCCATCTTTATGGCAAACTCACAAACCTCTTGACTTAAATTGAGATGTACTGTTACAGCTACAACAAAAAAGTGGTCAGTGTAACCCACAGTTAAGTTTGTAAAAAACAATAGTAGTAAACTCAAATAATAATAAAAAATAATAATAGAACAAAAAACACAAATAAAGGAACAAATAAAGATATAAAACAATTAAAATTAAACCATGAATACAGGTTAAAATTCGACCAGAGTCCCTTAATAAAATTTTAAAAAATCAGTCCTAAGAGACTGTAGATTCTGCCTCCCCCCTTAAATGGGGGGGGGGGGGGGGACTATGGACCAATTTACACCCGACCTTATCGAGAAGCTGCCTGCACAGCATGACAAGTGGCAAGAAGCCTACAATTTAACCCCAGCCACTCAAAGTGACCAAGTAAGCAGGACAAACACAGAGGATCCTTCACAACGTTACACACACGCGCACACATGCAGAGCAGCGATCTGAAGTAAACATCGTTATTAACTGTATATACTTCATCACCAGAGTCTTCCTCATTATTACACCTTTCTCCTCTCATCAACACAGACACACCTGTGTTCACCAAACTACAAGTTTTCACAGGAGCTCATTACACCACACCACTGTTTAACGGAGATCTGACATAAAATAAAGGAGGAAACGTGACCTCAAAAATAAAAAATGTCCTGATCTCAGTCCACCACACATCCGAGCAGAGACATAACTGATCAAACCTTCAGGACATATTTTTTTACCTTCACTTTGGTGTCTGAACAGCCAGCATTATCAGTCATCCAGCTCCAACAGTTTGATTATCCACCGATATTATTCCTGTTTACATCTGCGGTCAGCACGTTTTTATCCATTTGCATAGTGTGAAAAAAGTTTCAGCTCGCTTAAGCTTTAGGTGTCCAGATAGAGGCTGACAGGAGGATCATCTCTAGACTTGGTACCGAGTCCAGAGTCCCTCTACTATTTTATGTCATATCTCCGTTAAACGGTGGTGTGGTGTAATGTGCTGCTGTTAAAGCTGTAGCTTGGCGAACACAGGTGTGTCTGTGTGGATAAGAGGGGCTGTTTTGGTCAGACAGGTTAATACCAATGTTAACCTGATCACTGCTGCTGCACGCACGTGTGTTTATATGTAAGAATCCTCAGTATGTTAGTTGAGGTTTTAACCTCGGGAATAATAAAAGCAGGCTCGGTTCTAGGTTTACCCACCAGAGTGGGCACTAAGAAACCTTGGGGGGCCCCCAATGCTGGCTTTTGGTTACCCTCTGCATTTCCCCGGGCTTGGGACCGACACAAGTAGGACACTGGCTTGTGTCTTGTTGAGGCTGCATAATTTTTTTATATAGTTTTTTTTTGCATTCATCTATCTACCTCCTACCTACCTACCTACCTACCTACCTACCTACCATATCTATCCATCATCATATCATCATCACATCTGTCTGTCTGTCTGTCTGTCTGTCTATCTATCTATCTGTCTGTCTGCCTATCTGTCATCATATCTATCATATTCATCTGTCTGTCTGTCTGTCTGTCTGTCAAAGTTTGACATTTCAAAGAAATGCAGCCTCTTCATTTGAAATAAAAGGCCTGATGCCTCAGTGCACAAGCTCACATCAGCCTTATCATCCTCTGAAACCTCTGACAGGATAGTGCAAAGACATTGTTCATTCTCCAAAATGCACCTTGCCACCTCATAATGGCTTGTCCAGCGAATGTCAATTAGTCGTCTGAGTCTAGGACCATCATAATTTTCTGACACATAGTAGTGATGGAAGAAGTGATACAGGGAATTACACAGTTCAAAAAACATTTTGGCACATGGCTCACCCTGCATAGC